GGGCTAATCCATACTAACTCCTTCTGTCCTCAGTACAGGCCTTGCCTGCTGCTGGAGCAGGGACAGAATCCCCCTGTGCCTGCCTTACTCAGCTGCCCTTTTCTGCCCTGTTCTCAAGTACATGGGAGGCCTTTGCTCACCTCCACTCCGTTACACAAGTGTCAGCCACTGAGGATGTCAGTGGTTTGTTCTCGGTTGCTTGGGTTGAAGGCTTTCGGGGACTACCTTATCACTTAATTTTGTTGTAAATGGTTTTTGGTTTTGTCATCCAGTGGCTGTACCTCCAGTGATCCCAGCATCTTCTCAGCCCTGGTGATAAATTTCAGATGTGTTTCAAATGCAATAGATGGGAAATAGCCTAGCATGCTCAAGACTGTAAGTGATAGCTGTGATACTGAAAAATCACAAATAATAGCCAGGCTGTGGTGGCGCACGCCTTTAATCCCAGCACTTCGGAGGCAGAGGCAGGTGGATTTCTGAGTTCGAGGCTAGCCTGGTCTACAGAGTGAGTTCCAGGACAGCCAGGGCTACACAGAGAAACCCTGTCTCGAAAAACCAAAATAATAATAATAAATAATAATAAATAAAACCCCACAACTGTACAGCCCTCATGCTGTCTCAGAAAAGATGGGCTCCTGACAGTGCATGGTAAGCCAGATAAAGCAGGTGGCCAGGTAGGAACAGCCCTTGCCTAAACTCAGAATAGTCAGCAGACATTCTCAAAAAGTAAGCACAACTTCAGCCTACTGTTTAGTTTTAAATTTTAATCTTTTCTTCTAGTGATAATACAATTCAATATTCAAGTGTACGGATATCTATCCCAGTACATTACTTATTTAAATTAAAATAGATACACAAGGAGCTTACAGTATAATCCCAAGCTTATTATGTTTTATTTGGGGATGACCAAATGGTCAAATTTCTTTGTCCAGCAGTCAAAATTGGAGATATTAATTTAAAAATAAGCACTTTTAAAAACAAATTTGAAAATCAGCTCAAAGCAACATCCAAGTCAGACAGTTTATGACTAGTGTTTTGAGAGAGCCAGAATATTTTAATGTAAATTTGTGCAAACTAAGTAGGAGATAATCTCTCTGGCAAAATATTGAACTAATGAATGACAGGATTTTTTTTTTTAAAGATAGAGTGAGGGAGTCCCTATAATAACAAAACAAAATAACTGTAAGACAAGTTGAAAATAACCTAAATGCAAACAGAACGTGCCACAAATAGAGTCCTTCATTATCTTGGGGAGTATGACAGAGAGGGCAGCCAGCTTCTGTTTTCTTACCACAGGCAGGAAGTACACTTTGTAAAATCCAGCTCTTCATTTTCTGGTTGAAAAGATGATTGTTGAACAGGCCTGCCAGGGACTGGAGGTCATGCTGATTTATTGGCAATTAAACCTGCAGGATTTCTGTGCTCTCCTCAAAACAACATCTCTGCAGCTATTCAGCCAGGATGATCACATAGTGGGCTGTCTACTAAAACCCAGAGTCTTTCTGTTAGTGCACGATGGATACGATTGACTTGGCTGTGCTTAGAAAATTACTGCTATTTTCTGTGCAGATTCTTGTATCCTCTTCAGACCACCTCAGCCCAAAGAATTACCTTGTTAGTCAATTTAACAAGGCAGCATCACACCAGGTGATGAATAACTCAGTGTGGAAGTGTAAGAATGCCTGTAAAAGAACAGGATGGCCTTCCTTAAATAAAATGAATGAGTGGCCAGATTCATACAAATCAGTTTCTCCCCTTTGGCTTTTCCCAAATGATGACTAGTCTGGGCTGCTTCATTTGACACTCACTGAATTCAGTACTTTTTATCCACGCCATGCCTACAACCCAAATTACTTAGATTAGCTGCCTAGAATGTGAATCTTGTATACACCGATGGTCCTGCAGGTTTCCATATGTTGTACAGACAGGTGACATGCAGGCTTCTGTGGTCACAATTCTGGAATCTTAGCACTAGCAGGCATGTGAAGAGAGTGGTAGCAGCTCTTGCCAAATGACTGAGGCTAGAGAATTGCTGTGAGTTTAAGGACAGCTTGGGCTACATAACAGGAGCCTTTCTCAAGAGAAGAGAAGAAATGTGACCAGATAGGAGAGGGGGGGAGGAAGAAAGGAGGGAGGGAGGGAGAGAGAGGGAGAGAGAGAGAGAGAGAGAGAGAGAGAGAGAGAGAGAGAAAGGAGAATCCTAAAAGTAGGTCAGATGGGATGCAGATGGAGAGCATCGTCAGCATCCCTGCCCGCCCAAGCCCACCTGCCAGAACGAATCTGATTATACCTGAATTAGTTCTCCTCAGAAACAGGACTCTGGCCACTGTGCACTGTGTCCTGCTGGACAGCACCATCTGTCTCAGACACAAGCTTGCTCCCAGCATCCCCTGCTTTCTTTGCCCCCCCCCCCCGCTGGCTGTGTGGGTAAGGTCTCACTGTGCTGTCCATCCACTAATCCGTTCTCTAAATATTTATGGGTTCTTTAATACATGATGATTACAGCTCTAAGCCCTTACTCTTTCTATAGCATGGCTCTGCAGTGCATAAACTATTTTATTAATTGATAAATTTTAAAATTAAAGCAATAGATTTATTCCTGGGAAATATCAAGAAATTTGAATGCACATGTAATCCTAACAAATACTAGTACATATTTCACTATGTATCTTTTTAATTTTCATTTTTTTATCCCTGTTCTTTTAACTCGAAAGATTTCAGCCACATTATATATATATATAACCCTTCCTTGGCCCATTACCTATTACAACGCCACACAAGCCGATGATGTCCCTTTCATTGTTCTTTCTTCTCTGTTTCCTGCTTTTTCTATTACAATTATTTATGAGTGTGTGTGTGTCTGTGTATGTGAGTATGTGTGTCTGTGAATCTGTGTCTGTATGTATATGTCTGTGTGTGTGTGTCTGTGTGAGTATGTGTGAGGGTGTGTGAGTATGTGTGTGAGAGTATGTGTGTATATTTGTATGTGTGAGTTTGTGTGCAAATGTGTGAGAGTGTATGTGTGTGTCCATATGTGCATTCTGCATTCTTGACAATTGAATTTGGGGCCTCATGCTTCATGCATCCGAGGTAAAGGCTCTGTCACTGAGCTTTACTCCCAGCACTGTTTTGTTAGATTTTAAAACTTAAAATGACTAGTCTTCTGCAATTTATTTTTAAGTCTATACTTTGAGATAGGGTATCACTGCAGCCCAGGCTGTGATCTTCCTACTAAGCATCTCAAGTATTGTGAATGTAGGTAGGAGTCACCATCATTCCTGATTCCAGTTTGTCTTTTTTGGGAGGTGGTATTAAAATGACTTTAGAACAAGTATAGTCTAAGCATGGAGGGTAAGTATGTGGGCTAAGTGAAAGAAAGATGCTTAGGATATGTACCTGAGAGTGTGGGTTTCTGAAGGGACTGGTTTGCTAACTGCTTCCATCCCTCATCTTTCTTGGAATTATTTCCTTTGCGGTCTGTAGCTGTACTGCATTCATTTTCACCACTGTATTATAGAGACTCTGATGGAAGAGGTCATAAAAATTCACTTATTAATTCTTCCATGCACTGCAGCTAGTTTGCTTCCAATATACTGTTTTAGAAACAGGGCAATTGCCAAGCATGGTACTTTATACCTGTAATCCCTACATTTGATGAGCTGAGACTGGAGGATCCTGGCAAGTCTGCTGCCATCTTGGATTACATATAGAATTCCAGACCAGCTTCAAAACTCTAACTAATCAATCAATTTATCAATCAATGTCTGCCCCTATCCATTTGCACACATAAACATAAATTTCTTCAGAGTACACACTTGAGAATAAAATTGATCCAAAAAATACATAAATTACTTGAATATTCCTAAATGACCTTTCAATGTGATGTGCTAATTTATATCTTCAATAGTAATATTAGCATATTAGAATTTTAGGTAGAGGTATATAAGTCTGGGGATGTAGCTTAGGGACAGAATGTCTAGTTGACCTGTGCTCAATCATCAGTATCACAAAGAAAAACGATAGCCATGCCTACACTCACATTTGTCACTTATGTTGTAGGAAGCCGCGTTTGCGCTGGCAGAATCCGCCATTGCAAGATGGCGCTGGCGTCCGGGATTCTTCCTAGTAAACAAGTAAATTGCGCATGTGCCATGGTAAAAGCCTGCCAAAGTTAAAGCCCATCCCATGGCGTTTTGGTGCGCAACGAGTAAGCAGCCAATCAGAGGTGAATACACCGCTCTAAGGGTATATAAGCAGTGCTTTCCCGGGCCTGGGGTCTTCCACCATTTTGTTTTTGGAATAAAAGTTTTCCTGCGGAAGGATCCTGATGTGTGTCCGTGTGCGTTCTTGCTGGCGAGACGATTACACACGCGTCACAGCTGGTGCCAAGAACCCGGGAGAATTCACCATCCCTGGTGCTGTTTGAGAAGACCCTCCACTCGTGGAGCAGATCCAGAACCGTAGGACAAGGTAAATCTCTGAGAGACATGTTTGGGCTTGATTTATTTCGTCTCCCTCCCCAGTTGGCAGGAATTTTAGAAGCGCTCGCTATTGTGCTAGCGGCGTTAGTTCTCTTCCTTCTGGTTTTGCAGGATGAGAAAAGCCGCTCGACTGTAGCGGCGGACCAGACAGTGCTAGACAGAGTACAGGCCAACATGTCAGAAACAGAGGAAAGGAAGCGCTTAGAAACTCAGAAAGAAAAAGGAAAAAAAGACATGTTGAAGAAATTAGGCCCCCCCAAGGACGCTCGATCCACGGGTGTGAAAGATCAGGGAAAGGACGCCCTGTGTGAATTAAGAACGAAGGAAAGACAAGCCCCCAAAAGAAAATCTCTTTATCCGGTAAAGGAGGTTTTGGGGCTTGATGGCTCTGAGTCGGAGGGGCTAACTTCCTCCGAGGCAGAGGACTCAGATGAAGAGATAGATGAGGAGGAAAGATGCCAGCCAGATGAGCAGTTGCCGCCTCGAAATCTAAAGCAAAGGAAAACGGGAGATAGCTGCATGGCCTCTCGGCCTGTCGCGCCCTCCCAACCTAATGTTCCTGGCGCACTTCCACCTCATGTGGACAGGCGCTGCTCAGGCTCCTTCCTTTCAGAGGAAGACAAGAGAAAAATGTTACAAGCGGGAGGAGGCCATGTCCACGCACCTGTAGAGTATGCTTCTATCAAAGAATTTGCTGAATCGGTTAACAAATATGGAGTTGATGCTAATTTTACAATTATGCAGCTTGAGAGATTTGCCACTATGGCAATGACTCCAAATGATTGGCAAAATACAGTAAAAGCTGCTCTCCCTAATATGGGACAGTATATGGAATGGAAGGCTTTGTGGCATGACACTTCTCAAGCACAGGCAAGGGCCAACGCTAATGCGGAGGGCAACCAGAGACAGTGGACTTTCGAATTATTAACAGGGCAAGGACAGTATGTTGCCGAACAGACTAACTATGATTGGGGAGCATATGGCCAGATCTCCGCCGCTGCAATTAAGGCATGGAAGGCCCTCTCGAAGAAGGGCGAGGCTGGAGGAAATTTAACAAAAATATTACAAGCCCCCCAGGAGTCCTTCTCAGAATTTGTTGCTAGAATGACAGAAACAGCAGGCAGGATTTTTGGAGACCCAGAGCAAGTCAAGCCATTGATCGAGCAATTAGTATATGAAAATGCCTCACCAGAATGTAAGGCAGTTATTACCCCTAGGAGAAACAAAGGGCTGACAGATTGGATAAAGGTTTGCCGAGGTCTTGGAGGCCCACTGACTAACGCTGGCCTGGCAGCAGCTATCCTGCAGGGCCAAAGCTGCTCAAGTCCTGGCAGCCATAAAGTATGTTATAACTGTGGCAAACCGGGTCATTTGAAACGAGAATGTCGTACTCCTATACAAAAGAAAACCCCTGGGTTATGTACTAAATGCAGGAAGGGATATCATTGGGGCAATGAATGTCACTTGGTTAAGGACATTCAGGGAAAGATTATTCAACATGATCCCTCACCAGCAGGAAGAGATGAAGACATTTCAAAAAGTGGGCATCCAGGCCCCAGGTCTCAGGGCCCAAAAAAATATGGGACACAAGCCTACAACCGGGGGACACCTCTAGCTGCAGAGCTACAAGAGGTTCCGCAGGGTTGGACCTCCGCTCTATCTCCCAATTCTTACTAATGCCACATGAGGGCATGCAACCTATCCCAGTTGATTTTAAAGGTCCCCTGCCTGAGGGAAGCGTTGGGCTTATTCTAGGCCGCTCCTCTCTTACCTTGAAGGGGCTTGTGGTTCATCCTGGTGTGATAGACCAAGATTATACAGGGGAACTTCAAGTTCTCTGCTCTTGTCCACAAGGCATATTTTCCATCTCCCCTGGAGATAGGATTGCTCAATTGGTTATTCTTCCAAGTTTACATAATTGTTTTCCATCCACCGGGGTGCCAAGAGGCGCCAATAGGTTCGGTTCTTCAGGAACTGACTTTGCTCATTTAGTAGTGGATCACAAAACTAGACCCACTTTACAATTAACAATAGAAGGGAAGAGTTTTACAGGAATTTTAGACACAGAGCCGATAAAAGTATTATTTCCTCCAACTGGTGGCCTAAGGCGTGGCCTGTTACACAATCATCCCACTCCTTACAAGGGTTGGGATATGAGGCCAACCCTACAGTCAGTTCACGCTCCTTGACTTGGAAGACGCCAGAGGGTCAGACAGGAAGCTTTATACCTTATGTGATTCCTCTCCCCGTTAACCTCTGGGGAAGAGACATTTTGCAAGACCTGGGACTGACACTAACTAATGAGTACTCTCAACAAGCTATTAATATTATGAAAAGGATGGGATATAAGGAAGGAAAAGGCCTTGGCAGAAAAGAACAAGGAAGGTTAAACCCAATTTCACAAGAAAGTAAGTAATACAGGAAGACAAGGTCTGGGTTTTCCCTAGTTGCCACTGAGGGCTCCTTGCCCATACCCTGGCTTACAAAGGAAGCCGTGTGGGTTCCTCAGTGGCCCCTATCCTCTGAGAAATTGGAAGCTGCTACAAGGCTGATTGAGGAACAGGCACAGCTTGGTCATTTAGAACCTTCTACTTCTCCTTGGAATACCCCTATTTTTGTTATAAGAAAGAAATCAGGAAAATGGAGACTTCTCCATGATCTAAGGGCCATTAATAGGCAGATGCGGCTGTTTGGCTCAGTGCAACGAGGCCTACCTCTGCTCTCTGCTTTACCTAAGCAGTGGAGGATAATAATTATAGACATTAAGGATTGCTTTTTCTCCATTCCCCTACACCCGCAAGATAGGCAAAGATTTCCATTCACCTTACCTGCTGTTAATCACCTTGAACCAGACAAAAGATATCAGTGGAAAGTTTTTCCTCAAGGCATGGCCAATAGTCCTACCATGTGTCAGCTGTATGTACAAATGGCCCTTGAACCTGTTAGGAAGCAATTTCCTTCTCTGCTCTTGATTCATTTTATGGATGATATTTTAATATGCCATAAAGAGTTGACCATTTTGCAGAACTCATATCCTTTATTAATTGCTACATTAAGACAGCGGGGTCTGCATATTGCCACAGAGAAGGTTCAAATTTCAGAAATTGGTTCCTTTTTAGGGACAGTTATTTACCCTGAGAAAATAGTTCCTCAAAAATTAGAAATTCGCAGAGATCATTTACATACCTTAAATGATTTTCAAAAGTTATTAGGTGATATAAATTGGTTAAGACCATTTTTGAAAATTCCCTCTGCTGAATTAAAACCTTTGTTTGACATTCTGGAAGGAGATTCCCATATTTCCTCACCAAGAGCACTAACACCGGCTGCAAACCATGCCCTGCGATTGGTGGAGGATGCCTTGCAAGAAGCTCAGCTAAAACGCATTGATGAGACCAAAACTTTTAATTTGTGCGTCTTTAAAACCAGACATTTACCAACTGCTGTGTTATGGCAGGATGGGCCCTTATTATGGATTCATCCTAATGCATCTCCTGCAAGGATTATTGAATGGTATCCAGATGCAGTTGCTCAGCTTGCCTTACGGGGATTAAAAGCAGCTGTCACTCATTTTGGAAGGGAGCCTAAAGTTTTAATAGTGCCTTATACTGCACATCAGGTTCAAATATTAACTGCTACCTCTGATGTTTGGGCCGTGTTGGTCACCTCCTTTAATGGTCAAATAGATAATCACTATCCTAAACATCCCATTCTACAGTTTGCCTTAACTCAAGCTATTGTATTTCTGCATATCTTATCTCAGAAGCTGCTCCCGGATGGAGTGGTTGTTTACACAGATGGGTCAAAAACAGGTGTGGGTGCCTATGTAATTGATAATAAAGTCACTGCCAAACAATACCATGAGACTTCACCTCAAGTTGTGGAATGCCTGGTAGTATTAGAAGTTCTTGAAACCTTTCCAGGCCCTTTAAATATTGTTTCAGATTCCTTTTATGTAGTAAATGCAGCTAAAGCCTTAGAAGTGGCTGGGCTAATTAGACCATCCAGTAGACTTGTAAAAGTTTTTCAGAAGATTCAATTTGCCTTAGTTAATAGGAGATTCCCGGTTTTTATTACACATATCAGGGCTCACTCAGGTCTACCAGGTCCAATGTCTCATGGGAATGACCTAGCAGATCGAGCCACAAAATTGGTTGCTATCGCCCTATCCTCAAAATTAGATTTGGCCAAAGATTTTCATAAAAAATTTCATGTGACAGCAGAGACGTTACGTCGTCGGTTTGAGATAACTAGAAAGGAAGCTAGAGATATAGTTACTCAATGTCAGAATTGCTGCCAATTTTTACCAGTGCCTCATGTAGGAATTAATCCACGAGGAATTCGGCCACTACAGATTTGGCAAATGGATGTTACTCACATCCCAACCTTTGGCAAATTACAATATTTACATGTTTCCATTGACACTTGTTCTGGAATTATATTTGCTTCTCCATTGACCGGAGAAAAGGCAGCACATGTTATTCAACATTGCCTTGAGGCATGGAGTGCCTGGGGGAAGCCTAAAATTCTTAAAACGGACAATGGGCCAGCATACACTTCTCAAAAGTTTAGACAATTTTGTCGCCAAATGGAGGTAACCCATCTGACAGGTCTCCCTTATAACCCTCAAGGACAAGGCATCATAGAACGGGCTCATCGCACTCTTAAGTCTTATCTAATAAAACAAAAAGGAGGAGTCGAGGAAGCTCTACCCTCAGTGCCACGAGTCACTGTTTCTATAGCACTTTTTACCCTCAATATTTTAAATCTGGACAGTCAGGGCCATTCGGCTGCTGACCGTCACTGTTTAGAGCCTGACAGGCCAAAAGAGATGGTCAAATGGAAGGACATTTTGACCAGACAATGGAAAGGCCCGGATCCTATTTTATTAAGAGCCAGGGGAGCGGTTTGTGTTTTTCCACAGGAAGAAGACAACCCGTTTTGGCTACCAGAGCGACTGACGCGACGACTCGCGATATTAGAAGATGACACCCAAGCGGACCCTCCAAACTCTGATGACAGCCCTTGTGCTGATCCAAGGGATACAGGTTCCTAGTATATTGGGGGAACAACGATGGACCATATTATCTGCCTTTCCAAAACCCATACCAGTCAGACATAATGTAGCTAATCTGTCCAGGAAATTGTTTCAATATCTTGCAGGAAATTGGTCAGAAAACTTCGATGAGACACTCAGAAAATTGAGAGCAGCTGTGGTGAACATCAACTCGACGCTCATGGATCTGTCCCCGACTGAGGGACTGTCCTCCTGGATTTCTTCAGCTTTCTTTTTCTTTTTCTTTTCTTTTTCTTTTCCTTTTTTTTTTTAAGTGGGTGGGAGTAGGCCTGTTTGGTACGCCCTATGTTGTGGATTAGTGTTCATTTTTTGGTTGGCTTGCAAACTCAGAGCTCAACAAAATCATGACAAGGCTATTATTGCCCAGGCGCTTGTGGCCAAAGAACTAGGGGCTTCCCCTGCAGTGTGGCTATCACTGCTTCGAAAATAAGTAGTCTCCCCCTCACTAGTGGTGGTGCTAAATGTTGGGCCATCAGCCGTTGCACCCCAAAGGATTTGCCCATTGCACTGGGTCGGTGAGGAGTCTTGGCCTGGCTGGTCCTTGTCTGTGTAGCTGTGGTACCTGAATTTTGAGGCAAACAGCCCTTGCACCCCTAGGAGATGACTCCATTGCACAGGGATGGGTGTTTGCATCTCTTTCTGTTTCCCTTAGCCCTTGCACCCAGAGGACTTGCTTCCATTGCACCTGGTAGGGTAAGGGAGACTGTCTTAAACTACTAGTCCTTGATCGGTTATTCCCCCAAGATGGAATTTGCTTGATCGGGCTTGAGTTTGAGTCATGACTGGTACCACGCTAGACAGGCCAAGGACAGCCAGATAGACACCTTCATCTTTTCGTCTCCAGGCCAGCTGCCATTGGTCCCAATGATGGGAATAGGCTGATCCCATATGCCAGAGGTACACCACAAGTGGTGAGTTTACCCGGTGACAGGCATTACGAGTGGCCACAACCTGGGGCGCACATTCTGAGAATGCCAGGTGTGGGTGTGCGACCCTCGTAGCCTAAGACAGAGAGCTCACCATTCTTTGGTGCTGGCTGTGGAAAAACGTCAGCTAGCCTAAGACACGGGACATTGACCAGTGCCTGTTTAACAAAACAAAAGGAAATAGCCAGTAGACAGATTCCTCAGCCGCTGTACCCAAGGGCTTTTGGTAAAGACACCCTATAAAGCCTCAAACATATCTATATGCAGTCCCTGCCCACTAAGGTGTTCGTTCCACGGATAGTAGGTCTGGTAAGTCAATAACGGAGCGGACAGATAAGCCTCGGCCACCTAAGACAGGGCAGCCCCGGGTGGGGAGGCTGACCGAGTGACGGGTAAGAGTTTGAGCACCGCCCTCCAAAGAGACTCAGACCCGCAGTGAGACCCCCAAATATGGGAGTTACGAAACCTTCTCAGGGATCTCAACTACCACCCTCTGCAATAAAACAAAAAAGGGGCAGATGTAGGAAGCCACATTTGCACTGGCAGAATCCACCATTGCAAGATGGCGCTGGCGTCCGGGATTCTTCCTAGTAAACAAGTAAATTGCGCATGTGCCATGGTAAAAGCCCGCCAAAGTTAAAGCCCATCCCACGGCGTTTTGGCACGCAACGAGTAAGCAGCCAATCAGAGGTGAATACACCGCTCTAAGGGTATATAAGCAGTGCTTTCCCGGGCCTGGGGTCTTCCACCATTTTGTTTTTGGAATAAAAGTTTTCCTGTGGAAGGATCCTGATGTGTGTCCGCATGCGTTCTTGCTGGCGAGACGATTACACGCGCGTCACATTATGTGGTATAGGTGTCATGTATATGTCAGAGCTGAGAATCCCCAAGTCTGGATGTGCTTATTTGCATATCATTCCATGGCCCACTTCTGTTCATTCTCCTAACATTTCAGTCCTTCTGACAAGTCCTTCACCACCACCTAGTTCTGCTCCCCTTCCTTGACTCTCCTAACTACCCTTCACATCCCCTGGTATATTCAGTGTTTCAGGAGCCTGTGCTGTGGTTCTAAGCCATGTAGTCAGCCAGGGCTACCAGGCATCTCCCAGAACTCTGTACCACATGTATGCCCAATTCCTAAGAAGACCAGCAAACTACAGAAGGGATGAGACATTTTCTTTTCCTCCTCAAGAGAGGCCACCATGTTCCCATAGCAGCTTCCTGGGCGTGGCTCTCTTCACACATTTGATAGTTACAGTGCAGATCCACCTGTGTGAGAGCTCCCGTTATAATTTCAGTTTTAATTACTGTGTGTTTTCACTTTTGTAAACAGGGTTGGTTGCTCCAGCCACACAGGATGTGCTTGATGACACACAGGTGGCAAGTAGGCAGGAACGACATCAGAATGTATACTTGTCCCCATTGGATGAAGGTGGGAAGCGCAGAGCCTGTGGGTTTTGCTTTTATAAAGCACACTAATTCGCCAATGGAATTAACACACACTCCATCCCAGTTTCACTCCTCTGCATCTATCCTAGAAAGACTTCCTCAAGAGAGCCCTGCTTTTCTTTCACACTTTCCTAATGAAAGCAGTGAATACCCTAGCTGATCTTCTGTAAGTGGTAAACTGTTCTTTGGGGAAAACCATAGTCATATTTTTTTGCTCTGAGATTATCATAGACATAGTCACATACAGGTCAGGTGCCTTTTTCATTTTGAGACAGAGTCTTTGTAGTTCAGTCTGATCTCCAACTCACCAGCCAAGGATAACCCTAAACTTCTGCTCCTCCTCTGCCTCTACCTCCAAAGAGCTTGGATTAAAAGTATGTCTTACCACACCCAGTGCTGGATACGCTTGTACTAGAACCCAGAACTCCGTCCATGCTAGGCAAGCATGCTATCAACTGAGAGCTAAACTCCTATCCTGAGATGACATAAAACATTCAGCTGGGTGTTTGAGACAGTCTCATGTACTCTAGGCTAGCCTTGAGCTTATTAAGTGGCTGAGGCTCGCTTTTTTTTTCCTTTTTTTTTATTGGATGTTTTATTTACATTTCATATGTTGTCCCCTTACCCCATTCCCCACCCACCCAGGAACCCCCTAACCCCTCACCCCTCCTCCTTCTTCTCTGCGGATGTAACCCCTGCCTACTTCCCCATTCCCACCTCCCCACCCTCAAAATTCCCACCCCCTGGGGCGTCCAGGATCAAGTCAAGGATCTCTTCTTCCACCTATGCCCAGTAGGGCCCTCCACTATTACTTATTCAGCTGAAGCCCTGGATCCCTCCCTAAGTGCTCCCCGGCTGCTGGTTTAGACCCTGGGAGCTGTGGTTGGTTGGTATTGTTGCTCTCCTCATGGGGTCACAAACCCTTTCAGCTCCAATGGCCTTCACTCTAACTCCTCCATTGGGAACCCCATTATCAGTTCAATGGCTAGTTGTGAGCATCTGCCTCTGAATATGTCAGACTCTTGAAGACCTCTGAGGAGACATCCATATCAGGCTCTTATCAGCATGCACTTTCTGACTTCCACATCAGCATCTACCTTTGGTGACTGTACATGGGATGTATACTCGGGTGGAATGGTTTTCAGACGGCCCCTCCTTCAGTTTCTGTCCCTCACTTTGTCTCCATATTTGCTCCCTTGAGTATTTTGTTGCTCCTTCTAAGAAGGACGGAATCACCCCCACTTGGTCTTCCTTCTTCATGAGCTTCATGTGGCCTGTGAGTTGCATCTTGGGCATTTCAAGGTTCTGGGCTAATATCCAATAATCAGCGAGTGAATACCATGTGTGTTCTTTTGTGATTGGCTTACTTCACTCAGGATGATAATTTCTAGTTCCATCCATTTACCTAGGAAACTCTCGAATTCATTGTTTTTAATAGCTGAGTAATACTCCATTGTGTAAATATACCACATTTTTTTAATCCATTCCTCAGTTGAAGGACATCTGAGTTCTTTCCAGCTCTAAAATCAGGGACTAGACAAGGCTGCCCACTCTCCCCCTACCTAGTCAATATAGTACTGGAAGTCCTAGCCAGAGCAATTAGACAACAAAAAGAAGTCAAAGGGATACAAATAGGAAAGGAAGAAGTCAAAATATCACTATTTGCAGATGATATGATAGTATACTTAAGTGACCCCAAAACTTCCACCAGAGAACTCCTAAACCTGATAAACAACTTCAGCAAAGTGGCTGGTTATAAAATCAACTCAAACAAATCAGTAGCCTTCCTCTACATGAAAGATAAACAGACTGAGAAAGAAATTAGGGAAACGACACCCTTCACAATAGTTGAGGCTCGCTTTTAACCCCTGATTCTCTTGCCTTCCTAAAGCACCACCACGCCTGCCGCCTTTACTTCTTTTTCTTTTCTAAAAAAAGTTCTTGACACTAATAAGATTACAGCAATGAGATCCAGTGTTAATTTCACTGAGTCTTTCCACATCAAGGTAAATACTTCAAGTGGCAGAACTGCTCAGAAAAAGAATTCTTTAACTGAGAAAGTCCTTAGAACACTTCAGCCATGTGTTAAATGATTGCAAACGAGCTATTTTAACTCCCTGAAGAATTTAGGCACCTTGAGGAAATAATCATTCATTAGGAAGTGTGAGAAATGTCGTAGGTTGATTCTGTTTAAATGCCAATTATCATGTGCGAAGGCCATGCAAATACCACTGCCAGAGAGGTTAACCCAATGAGGGATTATTTCAGAGCAATTAATTCACTTCCAAGCTTCTGGTATCAACATCACCTTATTTCCCTTGTGTATTTGACCAAGTGTTTTTAAAA